ATTTATATGTACATGTCTATGCTATAAATTATGTTGAAGTGCTTTCTCTTTCCCTGTATCAGTAGATTAATATATGTATTGTCTCATCCTATATAGATAATTCGAGTTTTTGTTCCAAAGTGGAGATCGATAATTACTTGTTTATCCTACATAATTTTCGAACGGACTTGTTTCCATGACAACATATTGCCTGTGAAACAGAGCTATGGCCTACTCCAGTGTTGGCTAAGCTGTTTGGACTGCATTTCATTTGATTCTGAACTAGACTAAGTATCCAGAATATTGTTTACATATATCAGTAACGCCAAGATTAGCCAATTCCTAACCTATTCAGGTTTCATTGATTTGGCACGTGTCTAAGGTCTGAGGCTCACGATTCATGTATCTAATTATTTAAATAGCAGAGGAGTGGGGGATGTGCAATCTATCCTCTTGACAATGAAACATATTTTTTTTCCTCCTGCGTGTGGTCTTTCAATGAATGGGTGATGAGTTTGCCTACCTAAGAGCGAATTTGTGAATGAATACAGCACAGTATGTAATACAATCAGGAATAATTGCTCAGGACTATCTGCAAGATATAATCTTAATGCAATTCAAGGGTCGCCAATTGTTCTGCTACACAAAGAAATTGCGAACACTGATATAAGACACCATAAGTTAAAAGGTTTCTGGATGTTTACAAATGCAGATCTGTATATGTATTCTATTTGTAAGACACTTATGATGTTTTTACAATTTCAACATTGAAATAAAAGTCATAAATAAACATGAATTGTCACTTTGAGAGAGAGTATTTGTTTTTTTTTATATTTGTATTTAAGAATTAATATTTTCTATATATTTTTTGATAAAACATTGAACTGCCAGTCCATTATGCGGTCTTCGTCTCTACTTATTTAAAACAAACACTGTGTATGAGAGGTGATGACAGTAAGGAAAGTGTAATATTTGGGGGTTTTATGTTTTGGGGTTTTTATGTTTTGGGGTGCATTTGGATGTGGGGTCGGGTCACGTGCATTCGTAGGTGGCAAAACGACCCTGGACTTCATCTCAAGGATAAATTTAATGGCTCCTCCTGCATATATTGGCTTAAGCCCCTCCTAAAACCAGCCCTATATAATGCCCTAAGTTAAACACTAAATCCTGTGTTCTATAGATCACATTATGAAGACATTTTGGACTGAATTCAGAGTAATACACAAACCTACATTTCTAAGCTCCAATCTGCTGTATTACCCTGAACCATGCTGTATTAACACCCTGTGCCCACAGCCAAACATCCACACTGTGCTGAATAATTCACTTAAAATATTGGGCTCTAAAGTGGAACTGTCACAAATTACGTAATTGGAAGTGTTATTTCTCTCTCAGTGTTACAGAGAACTTGGTATCAACTATGAAACTGTGCCAAAACTAGACCTGGGTTTTTTCAAGAGCCCACTCAGTGCTCCAGCACTGCCCTAGAAACACCCCCTGGGTAAGGAAATATGTACGTAAGGGGCAGTATGTAGCTGTAAATGGCTGTATAGGGTGCAGTTTATCACTATAGGGAATGTCAAGTATAGATGTTTGGTGGGGTTCAGAACTTTGGGAGGTGGTGAGGGCTGGTCAATATTTGTCATTAATCCACTTCTTGATACGACATTTACTATAAATTAAGTAAAGTGAACACAAGTTAACAAATCCGTTGTCTGAGCGATTGAGGGCTGTTTTGCATTACCTGTTGGCTTTCATGCTAGTTTCAAGAATGCTACAGTTCCACGCCATTATACGTCCATCTTCCGTAAAGGTACAATTCCAACTATGGAGCCTTGGCAACAATTATATTTTAGTGAGTTAACTCTTTGTCAATCCAGCTCACCTTAGTGGAGGCTAAGTATACTACAGTATAGTAGGCACCCAGACAACTTCAGCTCATTATAGTGGTCTGGGTGCAATGTCCCTATCCCTTTAGTCCTGCAATGTAAATCATTGCAGTTTTAGAGAAACTGCAATAATTACATTGCAGGACTAAGACTGCCCCTATTGACTGTCAATCAGACAGCCAAGAGAGGCACTTCTTGCTTGCATGAGGACATCCAGCGTCAGTAAAAGCCCCACAGGAAAGCATTGCATGAGCATTAGTCCCCTCCCCCCCTTCCAGTCGGATGACGTCAAGAGAAGGTGATGCACTGAAACAGTGCCAATGGAGATCCGAGCTGGAGTTGGGTGAGTACACAAAGTTTTTTTTTAACCCTTTCCATGCTGTAAGTGGGGGGCAGAGGGAACAATAGTGTAAGGAATTCAGGTTTGTATTCTTTACACTAGAGAATGCATTTACTAAAGTCACACTTTGTAATTTATTTGTATCAGTAAGGAAGACTAGAAGCGGACCTTGAACTCACTTGGTATGAGATATAGAAGACAGATGTATCCCTGCCATGATCTGGCTGGATAAATTACCCCCTGCATGTTAGACAACATAGGGACATTTATAGGAATAAAAGTCTGGTGCAGCATTTAATACCATAAATAGTTCACCAAATATAATGGCCCACTAATACCACCAATCAACTGCCTATCCAGAAGGTTTAAAGGAACAATGCTCACACCCAAAGCACTTTAGCTTGCTGAACTCCTTTATATGTGAAGAGTGTGTCCTCATTTTCTTAATTTTAAGAAAATTACAAATTTCAATAAACTGGCACTTTTACAAATGTACTTTGTTACACTCCCCATGCTGTCTTCTCATTGGGCTGCATTGTGAAGTCTGTGATTGGACAGAAATAGAGAGTCTGGGCGGGGATAGAAGGTGATGGATTACAAAGGTTTTAAGAAAAAAGAAATTTGCAGCTTTGCACGCAGTTTTTAGATAAACTCCCAATGAAAAAAAAGCATAATTAAATGTATGTATGTTTTGTTAGGGATACATATACTAAGCAGTGTTTTTTTTTCTTTTCCACCATAGGACTGGTTTAATGTATTCAGCTGGTTCAGCTTTACGATCATTGAAGGGGTGTGAGATTACGCAAAAATTGGCAGGAATCTAAAGTGAAATTTTCCAAGTCAGCTATGCTTCCAGCTTGGTCTTAAATTTGAAATTCACCTAGAATTTCCAACAATTCTCACTTTTATGTAAAACCCTGATAGTGTTGAAGAATAATGGTGAAGGGGGAGGAGCCTTACTGCCGAGGCAAGCAGACACAAGATCCAAGAGCTCCAAGCAAAAACAGAGAACATACACCTAAAAACAACAGATAAAACACCAAATAACCACTGATCAACGACAGGAACACCCTAAGCCACAATGGGACGCAAGAACAAGAAACAAACGCCAAACAAACCAGCCCCAAGACTCTCAATAGGGGAAATGTGGCGGCAGGCATGTGGTCCGAGCAGATCCAATATGGCGGCGCTCCACGGATTTCTCAGATGATTACTCGGGAGAAGAAGAGGATGAATACCTCCCCAACCCAGATCCAACACCGAAGGCAAAACCCAGCAAACCAAGGAAAGACCCTGATGCTGACTGGGGTGCTGAAATCCCTGCTGGCGGACCTACAGAACAACATCCTAGCGGATGTCACAGCACTAAGGGGAGAGCTGTGGGACTGACAGGCCGCATCACAGTACTAGAGAAATCCTCCCAAGAACAGCAGCGCACTATAACCACACTACAGAACGACATGCGGGACCTGCACCTCCAAAATGAGCAATACGAACTGCGCTTTGCAACCCAGGAGGAAACTAGACTAAGACAACATAAAGTTCAGGGGGATTCCGGAGGGGTTACCAGAGAAGGACTTACCGCGCACGATCAAGCGCATACTAACCACAATATTACCTTCAGACCAAGCCAATGCCATCACGCCTACAGATCTCTTCCGAGTCCCAAAACCCGCTGGGTCCCCAGATACGGCCACAAAAGACACTATCCTTACCTTTGGGAATGGGTCAGATAAATCGAAGGTTCTCGCAGCGGTCCGGGGTAAAGCCCCCATACAGTTCGAAAATGCTAAATTGACCTTCTTCGCTGACCTATCCGGCGGAACCCTGGCATGGCGCAGGTCACTCCGGCCCCTCACCTCCACACTCCAGCGCAATCTAATACCATATCGCTGGCGACCCTCTCACACGCTCCTAGTGCAACACGGCGAAACAACACACCAAATTTACAGCATACAAGATGCAGCGGCCCTCCTACAGACCTTGGGACTGTCACTGGACGCACTCTCCCGGGAGGAACCCTGAGCCCATGCCAACCCGACCCACAACTGGGATCAAGCAGGAAGCGACCCGTTCAGAACGCGGAGCACCACACCGATCAACTATGCCGTGGTTACCACATAAACAGAACCGAAAGGTGTAACCCCCAGCCACACCACAACCGGCCCATACCGTACCACCGAGAAACAGAGTACCACACCGGAACCCCTCTACTACCTCGCAACGCACTGACGGACGAAACCAACATCCACGACCAAGGGAACGCTTTCCTTCTCTCATACTCTAAGATACTCGTGGGCACTGCGGGTGCTTGCTTGCTCGCAGAGCCGTGACTCCCCGGGGAAGTCAGAGGACAACAGAGGCTGGGACTCGCCCTCGGTGGGAATTAGCTGACCTGCCGGAGGAGCACGGTTGCCTCGCTGATACCACAATCTAACTATCAAGCTAAGAATCATAGATAATATTGTTTACTCTTACAATAGCTAGAGCATGTATATTAACCTTTCAAAAATGTGTGCAGGTTATATTGATGTCCTAGCAGTAAACATATCGTTTAATGCTTATGTATAATCATGTCTATAGCTATAAACCTAGATAAACAGAGCCTATGATTCCGCAAATGTACCTAACTCCTAAATCAACACGTCTTACTACTCGTAGACCACAGCATGCAATAATATGTAACACATCCCTTGACAACTAGTTTAATTCCTTTGTTATTTTCCTCTTGGAGGGCAGATGTTTTTGTTTTAAAAAGGGACACTAGCATGTCAGCACTATTGGACTTAGTCTCTAACTCCAACAACTACCACCCGGTGTCCAATACATAGTGAGTCTACTTTTATTAAGGTCCCCACAGGAGTATCACCTGTAAAAATTAGTCATGTTAATACGTCCCCATTCGTTTCTAGCCTAATAGCCAATGGCACTCTACCTGTGTACCAACCTAACCCGTATAACCAACACTAAAAGACATTACGCCCTAGTGCAGATCCTATGCTTTTTAGTCTTGAAAAGTTATAGACACTATATAGGAATGAATGCCCACCCAAGCCGTATTAGCACTGTAAACCAGATTAATATGAATAACAACCAACAACTACCAAGCTGCAGAAATAATCCCAGTTCAGCATGTTCAAGTTTCTTCTTCAAGGACGTTATTGTCAACTTACTCAATATGCATAAAAGGTGCTAACTGCCATCTCCATCTCTGATATGTAAAAGAACGGTGTGTGGGATAAAGTGCATAAACAGTGCAGGTCAGCCACTCCAAATAAGGGATCACTTCCAGTTCCCAAAAATTAAACAAATATAAAAACAGTATAGTTTAAAAAACATATACCAGTGGGGGCGCCACAATCAATGGTGATCATGTAAAGAAAAGAATAAAAAACATACATAGTGAAGTATTTAATAACAATGTAGCACAATGTAGCACCATCTCTGATATAACCTGATTATGCTTGTTGCTTAACTGACATAAAAAAAAAAAAGTGCTGTTTATTTTTACTGTTATGCCTGTTTTGCTTGTTACCACAACACTTGCAAATACTGATGGGGCAGAGCAGGTACACTGTTACTTCATGCACAACGAAAAATAAAGAATAAAAAAAATAATGGTGAAGATGCTACAGACTTGTTTCTCAAGTTGTAATATAGTTGAGTTGGATTTTTTTCCAGTTTGGCCAATTTTCAATTCTATTCTTTTGTCAAAAATACCCCCCTTATATGCATCCTTCTAAGCAAGTTAAATATTCACAGAATGACCATAGTTAAATTCTGGAAAAAGAGTACCACTTACAGGTGGTTTTACTACCCATCTGATATAAACACCACCCCAGAAAAATGTATATTTCATAAAGATAGAAGCTTCATGAAATACTAATTTTGACTGTGTTGGAATTTCACTGAAATTCCAACCAAGTCAAGAGTTATACAGAGAAAAAGTAGGGACTACATTATCTCTGTATATTTTTTCTGCTGACTTGCTTAGACTCTGGACAGAGCTAGTGTCAATCCCTACAGCTGTCACCAGTGATGGATGCAGAGAATTGGCTCTGTCTATGGAGGATATTGCGGGATCTTCTATATACCTCAATGCCTTACTCTCGTGCATGCACGCTAGTACAACAGTGATGTAAGGCCTCCGGCGCATTCCTAAAGAGGAACATCCGAATAAAGATGGTCGCACCTAAGAGGGACAGGTTCAGGCAAGTAAATCTAACCTTTACCGCCTCACATTTACCGACCCTTAGGGGGCTTTTGCAAATTCGGCAGAATATTGTAAGGTTCTACTCCACAATTTGCAGGATTACTTGGATGATATATAGCCACCAATGCTGAAAGAATTTGCAGGTACAACTTTTGCCTATGACCATGTGGACCATTTAATTAAAACCTTAATTGGCAGGAAAAAAAATCCTCATTTCATCAAAGTTGAATAGAATTTTCAAAGATGTGTGTGTAAACATTTTGTTTATTGTACAATAAATTCTGAAAAAGTATAATTTATATTATCCAGGTCTCAGTGCTTCACGTAGATCTTTGGTGTTTGCCAACCATCAGGTGCTTTTTTGAGTCCTGCTCTCCTCCAGATTCTTTTCAAATCTTTTTCAAATTTGGCCTGCAAAAAAGAGTTTAAAATAAGCACTTGTTTACATTACAAAAGAAAGTAAAAATAACTATTTTGCTTTAATATGGACCTGTCATGGCAGGTCCTCTAAAAATAATAATATATTGTAGCAGGCTGGCCGGGTATAGGTCATAAACAACAGAAACAGTTCTTCCTTCTAATAGGAGAAAAGCTTTATTTAGCAAGCCAGACCCAATTTAGCCACAGCAAAACATTAAACCAAAATAAACTCCTACTCCACACTGGAGACTAACTAACAGACTCCCATTTCTATGCAACTGGGCAGCTAACCTGACTTCCAGTAGTTTAACAAATACAAATAAAGGCTTTCCACAAAGTTTCAGCAGTCTCTATGACTCGCAGTCTCTTTGTCTCCACCCCAGCTCTTCACAGGAGAGACTGATTTCCTTCTGCATGGGGTTTATGTAGCTCCCTAATTGATGTACTAAAACAACCTGATTTTTAACCCCCTCTAGTCAGGGAACATTGAAAGTGCCATTCTGATGCTAATAGCAGTGTTACCGCACACTGCCACAATATATATATCTATATCTATCTCTTTCAAATAGAGAGCACTCTGGGGTCTTTTAAGGTAAATTTACTGTTAGTTTTATTCAGTGATCAAAAACAATGTCTACGTTTCAAGACCATAAAAGTCTGTATTGACTGAAATGTCGACATTGTTTTTGATTGTTGAATAAAAGCAACAGTAAATTTACCTTAAAAGACCCCAGAGTGCTCTCTATTTGGAAGATATAGTGGGCCGGAGATTGCACCGGAGTAATTGAAAAACCGGGAGCGTCGAGTGCTGGGACCTGGGAGATATAGATGTATATATATATATATAATTTTTTTTTTTTTTATAATATATAAAGTAGTAGCTCGCTGTCTTCCATAAAATAAATATTGTATTGATCTTGATGAAAGTCCTGAAACGTTGATCCTATTTTTAAACTTTAACTTCAATAAAAACGTGAGTCTTTATATGACGTGAGTGCAGCTCCCGTTCTACTATTCTGGATATCCAAAGGCATTGTTCCCGGCAACTTTTTAAGTATTTAATCCTGTGTGCAAGGATCTCTAGGGACAATATATATAGTAGAGATGGTAGCTGTATTAGTCCAGTGATGTAGATGTAAAAAAAAAAAAACTGATAAAAATCGGATCTTGTAATACCTATTTTATTGGACTAGCAGAACTTTTTAATGATAAGCTTTCAGGAGAACCTCCCTTTCTCAAGTTACGAAGATACGAATTTTATCTATTTTTACATCTATATCATACATAAAACGTAACTCATATATTTAAAGGGGCACTCCACTGTCTAAATAAAAAGATAAACCTATTTGATAGATAAAGGCTAATGAATTATGCATTTTGTTTCATTGGGGGTATATCTAAAAAGACATTGCAGAAGCTGCAGATCTCTTGTCTGAAGCCTTTGCAAACCCTCCACTTCTACCCCACCTCAGACTTTCTGTGGCTGTCCAATCACAGACTGCAGCACAATGAGAAGTCTTTTCAAGGCAGGTCTCTGGGCAATTTTCTGCCTCTTGAATTAAGCTCCACTGAGCTAACTAAACCAGGAACAGGACTGAATGTCTCATAGGAAGGTGGAAGGGGCATAAGGGGTGTAACAATCAATCAATCAATGTTAATTTAATAAAGTTCCAATTTCTACTAAAAATCAGTTTGTTTGTTTTTGTTTTTTTTTACAAAAAGACACTCTCCACACAAAGCACTTTACCAACTTACATTGCTTTAGGTGTTTGCAGTGTCCCTTTAAGCACTATAAAGTATCTACAAACCTTCTACCCACTGTTCCCATGATCGGAGATGTGTGGACATACAGTCATTTAATATCTTACCCTAGCGCTTGGCTGTTTACCTCCCATCACTTTTCCATATGATTAGTCCTGTTTGTGAAACATTCCCCAAGCTGGGCTCACCTACCTGCATTCTCTGTAATTGCTGAGCTGGAGAGAAAACAATCTCAAGTAGGAGGGTTTTAGTTTTTTTTTCCTGTCACTAAATTGATGGCACAGACCTCATGCAAAAAGACAGTTGGGGAAGGGAACATTTATTTATTTTGTAATCTATATATTTGCTAGCACAATGTACAGATAATTTATTTTTATTCTTTCATTGGAGCTTACGCAAGTGTATCCAAGGAATGTATACTTTAAGAGAGAGCTACATTTTATCCTCAAAAGACAATCAAATATTTACCATCTTTGTTTTAATTTTTATGTCAACTAGACCTAAAAACCACTAAGTTATATTTACATTTTTAAAAGGTTCACTGGTTTCCAATAAAGCACATACAAAAAAAACACAAAAGACATAACGACATCACAATGAGCGTTTACTACCTCAATAGGCCTCTGTGGCAATGTCATTTAAAAACCAAAAAACAATAACATACAACTTTTATAAATTAGTTATTTTATATTGTATTGTATCAATACAGCAATCTCCGAGCATCTCACCTGCTTCCTAAGTCTGCGTCCATCTCTAATCTTTCGGCGGAGGAATTTTGTGCGTTTCATAAGCTTTTTATACTTGTGTTTGTTCATTTTCCTCCGTCGAATCTTCAAAACGTTTTTGCAATGCACTGCACCCCTATCTTCCCTATCTTCACCCATGTCCTCAGTGTCCTGATGGGTAGGGCATTCATAATATACTATGTTTTCTAGAGGTTCTTCAAGTGGTTTAGAGGACTCTGGTTTTGGCAGGAAATAACGGGAAGTAATCATGCTCTCTAAAGGGCTGATTGACATCATGCGGGGCACCAGAAATTCATCTAGTTCAGGCTGAAAGTTGTACCATACTTGGGGAGGTACTTGCGGTCTCTGTTGTTGCCGTGTGCTATAAAATGCAGATATGGTCTTGTAATTTGGACTTAAACAGCGTGGCAAAAGACACCCTAAAACAAAATGAAATAAAGAAGTTAATAACACAGTTAAATATTTTTTTTTCAAAAATTATAGACCAAAGAATCCCTTCTCCTACATCATACACCAGCACAAATACCATCTTACACAAAGTCACATAGCTCAACACCTACTCAATATATAAGATTACACTGGTGTAATCCACAACCTCCCTCATTAACACAGTAGTTGACATCCATGGAGGTGATTTTGCATAGAAATTGGCACTTACGTAAACGGTCATTATTATGGGATACACCTTGCCTGTAAAGCACTTCAGCAGACCTTTAATCAATTGCCCCAGGAACTCAGCGTGTGTTTCTATGGGCTTTTTTTTTTTTAAATTTACATTGTGGCATTCTGCCTAGTATACCTTTTTGTTAAGTCTTTTAGTGGCAGACACCTTTGTAGGATAATTATTTTTTACACAGTATGGGAATAGGTGCAATATAGTTACTTTTGATTGATGTTTTGTCTATGTAAATAGTGATTGATATATTGCTTATGTCTTTTTGACACCCTTCATATGTGAGCATTTAGTGAATAACTAACCTATTATATATGAATTGAATGGAAGACAAGGAACAGGTGCTAGAAGGTAAAAGCTCTGTACCTAAAACTTATGGTGGAGCGCTAAGGTATAAAAAGGAGAACACTTACCCCTATATAAACATTAGAATGGAATCCTATGGCTGGGCTATAAATTGAAAAAAGAGGGGAGTTATAAAACATGTAATGGTTAAACTCCCAAGTAGAGAGCCAAAAAGTGGACTGGCTCAGATCACAAATGCCTTGGTGTATTCAGGTGACACCCTCTCTCTTCTCTTCTTTATAAATACACTCAGGAGAAAACACAGAGAGAAAGGGAAATTCTTGGTGTAGTCTAAAGTGCAATCCGGTGAATAAAAGGTATAAATATATACTGCTCACCTGCTTTAGAGCCACTGAGTTTAACCGTTATATGTTTTATAACTCCCCTCTTTTTATACAGTCTACACTATATATCTTTCTCTCAATTTATAGCCCAGCCATAGGATTCCATTCTAATGTTTATATAGGGGTAAGTGTACTCCTTTTTATACCTTAGCGCTCCACCATAAGGGTTAGGTACAGGGCTTTTACCTTCTAGCACCTGTTCCTTGTCTTCCATTCCATTTTTTGGTGGGCTAAGAGATTCCCACAAGGGTGTGGTAGCAGCTAAAATATACTCAGCGCAGAATGCACCTGTCATGTATTAAATTTATATATGTGTGTGTATATATATTTATAGTTTGTATATTGTATTTTTGTAATATTGTACCCTATTGTTGCAATGTTTTGAGGACCCAGGACATACTTGAAAACAAGAGAAATCTCAATGTATCCATCCTGGTAAAAAATGCGGATGTAACTGATGTAGCTGGGCTGTGTGGTGTACATTGTTTTCGGGCCTGTGATACTAGATTTGCCCAGAACTTGGTCACCTTGAAACCCAACATTGTGTGTCTAAAGCAATAATAAAAACTTAGAACCAAAAGTTAAGGAAACAGGTAACTGGGGCATCTTCTACTGTTATGCTCTTAACGTTCCCTTACAGGAGCCCTTGGGACTAGTCCTTGGCGCTTCTCAGTTAGGTGGGGAAAATAACAATAAGTAACCAGGTTGTCCTGCCTGTAGTGCATTGTCCTGCAATGGGGCAGATTTTGGGTGCTCGGCCCTCGGGTGGTAGCAGCCGCGTATGCGGTTTTCCCCGTTCCCCGCGGGATAAAGGGGACTGTCCTCACTGGGTCCCATCTTGGTTCCGCCGCTGTTTTTTTCAGGCCCAGCTATGGGTGGCAGCCCTTCCAGGGGCAGGCCCAGCAGGGGTAACAAGGCTTGCTTCTTGGATGTTCGAAATGAAGTAGGTCTTGTTGTCGTGCTGTATTTGTAGTGTGCACCAGCGATATTAAGCTGCTTGTCTTGGAGCAGTGTGGTGAAGGGTTGTAGGGATAAATAAATATTTTTTAAGCACCCTTTTTACAGAACACTTTTTACTATATTATATGAATTGCCTTTATGTAGATTTGGCAGTTTTTTTTTGGAAAATATCATGTCTTAATATCATCCATTTATTTTGAGAAATAATATCGAAAAATTTACTTATTCATATATTTCATGTTTTTATATTGTTTTTATGTGTAGCTATTTACCTAGTTTGGAAAGTAGTTCATTTTTGTAATGGGTGGTTCATTGGTATGGGCGATCACCTAAGTTTCCTTTATAAGGGTGGGGGTGCATTGTATGGGCATCTGTGAATAAGTATTATTTTTTTGTAGCCGAAACACGCCAGATGTTATTGCTTTTCACATGGATTAAGTTTTAATAATAATGGCTTGGGGAAGCTTCCATTTTCAACCATTAATCCAAGTTTGTACCCATTTTTCTTTGGATTCCCATGCTAATGCTGCATAAGAGTTGGCTACCGTTTACTAGAGCACCTGGAGTTACTTGGTGGGTCCTTTAAAGCTCTGCTTAAATGGGGAGAGGAGGCTGCTAGACCATAAGTCAATCCTTGTTTCATGCTGCCACATGTTACACATAATTTCTTGCACTGAAAATACTCATAGCCATCTCTATGGAAGAACTTCTTGTACAATAAAACTGACCATTTCAAGTTCAGTTCAGAAACTAGAGTCAGTTTTCGTTAAGAAGCACTGCAGCAGATATGGTACCATTACCCAGAAATAAACCCTGTATACATGAAATGCTCAGGTCAATGACAGCACTACAAACCTCCAACCGCTTTCAACATTAATTTCAGATTCAGAGCAAACTGCACTATTTCCTGATAAGCCAGTGACTAACCATATTGTTATAATATTGAAACATCTGGCCTTACCTGTACGTTGTGTAGCTCTAACCATCTGCGAGGTTAGCCTTGAGAGCCACATGTCTTAAGAAATGAATTAGATGCTGCAGAGTCCACAAAAACACCCTATGTGGAAAAACAAACGCATACGAGTTACAACCTTTCAGATACAAAATCCCCTACATGCGATCATTGCAATTCAAAGCAAGCAGGGCAAAATCTGCCCTCCAGCTCCCATCAACCTAATTCAGATTTCCTCTGAGGATGATGGGTGTTTCAGTCCTAGAACAGGTGTGGGCAGTTACATTAACCTTATTCTGGTACACATAAAGCTCAATGCTGGTTAAACACTGCCATATTATCAGCTTTTCTGAATTACATTTACATTATGTTCAATCCGCCCAAATAGCTGTCATGGGGGACATGGTCCACAGCAGCAGCAGGACTGACACTCACAGCAGCAGCAGGACTGACACTCTCAGAAGCAATGCTGACACTCACAGCAGCAGGACTGACACTCACAGCAGCAGCAGGACTGACACTCACAGCAGCAGCAGGACTGACACTCACAGCAGCAGCAGGACTGACACTCACAGCAGCAGGACTGACACTCACTGCAGCAGCAGCACTGACACTCACAGCATCAGCAGCACTGACACTCACAGCATCAGCAGCACTGACACTCACAGCATCAGCAGCACTGACACTCACAGCAGCAGCAGGACTGACACAGCAGCAGGAGGATTGACACTCACTGCAGCAGCAGGACTGACACTCTCAGCAGCAGCAGGACTGACACTCTCAGCAGCAGCAGGACTGACACTCTCAGCAGCAGCAGGACTGACACTCACTGCAGCAGCAGACTGACACTCACTGCAGCAGCAGGACTGACACTCACTGCAGCAGCAGGACTGACACTCACAGCAGCACTGACACTCACAGCATCAGGAGGACTGACACAGCAGCAGCAGCAGGACTGACACTCACTGCAGCAGCAGTACTGACACTCTCAGCAGCAGCAGCACTGACACTCACAGAAGCAGGACTGACACTCAAGGCAGCAGGAATGACACTCACAGCAGCAGCAGGACTGACACAGCAGCAGGACTGACACAGCAGCAGGAGGACTGACACTCACAGCAGCAGCAGGACTGACACTCACAGCATCAGCAGCACTGACACTCACAGCATCAGGAGGACTGACACTCACAGTAACAGCCAAACCCCACTCTATTGAATGAGACACAAGGCATTCTCTATCTCTATATATAAACAGACATAGCAAGATAGAGAGCTAGCAAACTCGGGTCTGACCTCAAAAAACATCCGTTCCTTCAATTTTGTGTTCAGATCCTGCTTGCACATTGACATCCGGTCCGATCACAAACCTGTCCCCAGCATAACCAGACAGTAACTATGGTTCCGGGGGGTTGAGAGTGCCATCTAGTGTTCATGGATAGGACTACACTGACATGATTATTTTTTTTATTTATTATTTAACTTAGAGTAAAGTGTTCCAAATGGTAATTATTGTTGAGTTAAATTAGCTTCCCTCAATCAGCTACTGTTGCCTACATTCCTTAAATTAAGTTTCAATGTGCTACAATGTGCAGTTTAGTGAATAAACCTTATAGGTGTAAATGGCAGACTTGGAAACATAATAGAGACCTCATTATATCTCCCACTTGGCTATTTTACTACAAGATGTAAAATTTATTTAGTTCGTTACTGGTGAACAGCCCTGGAATGGCTCGTTTCACCGGTAAAGGATTACGGGTGTTAACGAATGTTTACATACATATTTTTAAAGGTCTGCTTGAGGTGAATGAAATATGGTACACGGCACCATTAATTTACCTATGCAACATATCTCTTTAGATAGGCTATCACCTTTGCCAAAATGTCCTCTATGATATAGGCATGGACATAAAGCTTGTTAGGTGTCCCTGCATGATCAGGAGCCCAAGCAATGTTCTCAACTTCCATTCATGTGGGTCACTTCACTGCTCTTGTGTTAATAAACAAATTTGGTTAGCTGGTAGTTGTCTATAAACCTCTCATTACTTTGTGTTCTAAACGTGTTCTAAAGCTGTTGGCGGTCCGATACCATATGACAGCATCCAGTGGAAATGGTTTAACAGACAGTTACAAGGTTATTCACTAAAACAAGACTTGTCAGTATTTTGCACAGAGGTATCTACTAAAATAAAAATTGTCCAGAATTGAAAGTACATTTTTAATTTAACCCCTTAAGGACACATGACATGTGTGACATGTCATGATTCCCTTTTATTCCAGAAGTTTGGTCCTTAAGGGGTTAAGGGACACTATAGTTGTTCTGGTGAGTATAGTATGTCCCTGCAGGCATTTTAATGTAAACAATGCCTTTTTACCCTTAGTGGTCTGGTTGGGCATTGAGGAGGCTATAGAACTCTGCACACAATCCTTTATTGGGTCCAAATTGCAGATCTGGCATCAGATCCGGATTCCGCTTTCCCTCTCGACCGTTATGGGACCCACGTTTCCGTTGTCAGGAAACCCAGCGTTTCCTCCTGGAATAAACAGTGTTAAGCTGGCATTCCTAGCTGAGGGCTCCTACCTGCGCATCACTGCACTCTGAAAGAACGGGAGATTGCTATCCTTGCAGCAAATTCTTCCGGATTATCATCAAGTATTGGAGACTTTTAAGTTCTTCCAATTACTACACTTTTATGGTTCAATATCTTAATACAGATTCATACACGGCCACTCACACCCTTCGAGGAGCTATGCACACAACACTCTGCAAATGGGCATATCTGTGATGTAAAAACGTCTTCTTTCCGCAGCTGCTCCAACACCTTTTCGATTCAGGGCTATTTAGGAGGAGACTCTGCAGATAATCTTTACCAAACAGGAGTGAACAAAGATGACCATGATGTCCCACCTGAGCTCACAAAGCTCATGTTTCCAAGAAATGAATTATAAATGACAGACAGTGGTACGATACACCACAAAAGCTATACTGACTCTTCCCTGAGGTTCCCGATCAATGTTGGAGGTGTGGGGGTTCAAGAACTTCTCTACTCCACATTTCTGGAGTTGTCCAGTTTTAACTCCCTGTTGACAGGGTATTTGAAACCATAACCGATGTTTCTGATGAGGGAGTTTGATTCAATCTGGTGGACATGCTCCTCAATTATACTAAATTAACGGTTTCAAAATCCAAGAAGGTAATACCTAAACACTTACTTACCGCGACTCGTTCATTGATGCATGCCCGATGGCATCAACAGGATCCATAGATGTTTCAATCCTGGCTAGAGAGAGTGGAGGAGGGTGTCGCCCTGCTTCAGGGCCATATCGCCTAGTATGATAAAATATGGCAGCAATGGCAATACTATCTCTGCAGAGGTGAGAACTGGAGGAGCTGAAAGTGAGTTGGGGCAAACATATCAGGAGTAGGGAATCTGTGCACCGTGAGTGGACAACTGAATCCCAACATGCTTCTTTCACCCATATTTTACCCTCTTCACTATGTTGCCAACATTTAACCCCTTTCTGTACCCCCTACAATTTAAAAAAAAAAATATATCTATATATATACATATATATATATCTTTCCCTCTCTCTAGTTTTATTCCTCTCTGCTTATCTCCTTTGCTTCCTTCCTTGTCACAAACTTACAAGAGAGGTTTGGACCCCTTTGACACCTGGGGCTTGAATCCAGCCACAGCAACATGCCGCTACATCCTTAGGTCAAATTAAGAGGAGCATCATTTCACATTCTGTACCCTCTTAGGTACTGACGCAGTGCATGGTCACTAGCTCCTGTCTTGCTCTTTCTCACTTAGTACTGCAAGATTTATGCAAAGGTCGTTGACTTTTGACACAGATGTTTATTTACTGCTGTGTCAATATGCATACTACTCTTTTACTCATGCGAGTTTAAACTTTGTACGGGGCAATGAGAGAAGCTATATTCCTTAAAGTGGATGTTAAACCTTTCTGTTCAATGATTGAGGCGATGTCCTTCTTTTCAATTATATATATATGTATAAAGGCAGTTTTGCCTGTATTTGTGGGAGGGGCTTAAATTAATTCACTCCCCTATATAAGGGACACCCCTTACCTGACTCATATCGCTTGAGGTCAGCATCAGAATGATTTCCACTTCCGGGTCATCCAGACGCCATTTTACCTGATTACTCCATGAGGTTTTCTAAGCTGAGCTGTGTCAGGAATCCAGCCACAGGCTTTTCCGACCTACCACCTTCTTTCTTCAATCTATCGCTGTGGATGGTGTCCAAGTGACTCACAAACCGTAAGTTGACCTACCCATTACGCCAGGCATCAGTCCCACGGCACCATGCAAGGGTCAGGTCCTCACTTTACTGCTGCATTTTGTCTAAGTCTGTTCTAAAACCATTGCATGTTCATGCATATCATTCGTTTAAACCCCCTACTGGTCTTTGGGTGTACTACAGACTTCTTAGACATTATCGCATTTCATGTACAAACCAACGAACCACTGCATCTTTGCCTACACACTGACCCCTACCGGTCATTCGGTGTACTACAGGCTTCTCAGACATTATTGCATTTCATGTACAAACCAACGAACCACCGCATTTTTCACCTACACACTGACCCCTATTGGTCATTCGGTGTACTACAGGCTTCTTAGGCGTTGTTTGCATTTTCATGTACAAACCAATAAACCACTGCATTTACACCTACACACTGACCCCTACTGGTCTTTCGGTGGACTACAGGCTTCTCCGACATTATTGCATTTCAGGTACAAACCAACAAACCACTTAATTTTTCACCTACACACTGACCCCTATCAGTCATTTGGTGTACTACAGGCTTCTTAGACATTATTGCTTTTCATGTACAAAACAATAAACCACTGCATTTTCACCTACACACTGACACCTACCAGCCATTCTGTGTACTACAGGCTTCTCAGACATTATTGCATTTTATGTACAAACCAACAAACCACTGCATTTTTCACCTACATACTGACCCCTATCAGTCATTCGGTGTACTACAGGCTTCTTAGACATTATTGCTTTTAGTGTACAAAACAATAAACCACTGCATTTTTACCTACACACTTACACCTACCGGTCATTCAGTGTACTACAGGCTTCTCAGACATTATTGCATTTCATGTACAAACCAACGAACCACAGCATTTTCGCCTACATGCTGACCCCTACCGGTCAATCGGTATACTAGTCTTCTCAGACTTTATTTCACTTCATAAGCAAACAAACTAACTACAGCATTTTCGCTTTTATACTGACTCCTATCTGTCATACGGTAGGATTAACCCCTTAGGGACACATGACATGTGTGTCATGTCATGATTCCCTTTTATTCCAGAAGTTTGGTCCTTAAGGGGTTAAAGGGTATTTTACCATACAATCAGCATTTATGACCCCTACTGGTCAACAGCAAAACTGTCTTCACATGTCATATACAATTTACCAGCCAATATAAATTACACATAAGATTGTTTTAACCCCTTAAGGACACAAGACATCTGTGACGTGTCATGATTCCCTTTTATTCCAGAAGTTTGGTCCTTACGGGGTTTAACATAACCATAAACCATAAATGAAACTCCAGCACGGGCTCAAATTCAGGTTTAATTCACAATTTACATTTCACATCAAGACCAACAGTGGTTCTATCAACACTGCCACCTACAGGTCTGTCAAGTACATTGACAATTTTCATGGGGTTTTACAAACACCAAAACACTTACACCTATAGGTCAACAGATAAACAACATTTCACATACCAATCAGTATCCAACTACACTGCCACCTATAGGGCACTCGGCAGATCTCCAGTGCACTTGCATTTTGCAACACCATGTTCACTGACCCCTACCATTCAATAAGACATACAACAATTCACATAGCAGGCACTATATCAACATCAGGTATAAATACATATATTATTACACAGTAGCAGACGCGTCTGTATATACGTAACTAGTAATATAGTTCACATACATTTTTCACAGCACGCTGCTCACGCAACAGACTTTCCCCTAGCAAGGGGACATACAACATACAAGGTGGGGACAGACCACATTTTCACTTGTACATGCGGCACTTAATGGGTTAAGATTGATACATATTTAACCAGTATGGCTACGATGTTTAATATTTACACATCATGGCACTTTACTTTTCACATATACTGTACGTATTAAGATAAGCTTGGTCTATGCCATATTTCCTTATGCCATACGGTTTTATCCATTCAGTTTACAGTTACTACTAAAAAACCTATACGGATTGTCAGGTTCAATACCAATACATACACCTGCTCACGTAGTTATCCATCTCTTACCTTCCCTGGAATAGTAATAGTGTACTGGCAATTAGGGTTCTAGGGCCCAATAGGTATTACCCTCTTTTTTTTTTTTTCTGCATTATGCTTCGGTTAGTGGTCCCGCGAGGCCAACACCCCGCCTCACACTCGGAGGCATACACCCCTCGGGCCACTCGTGAGCTAGCCGCCTCGCATTGTATCATAGAGAGGGCCTCACCTGTCACTCCCTTCCTATTTTTCTGGTTACTGTCACCGAGAGGCCAACATCCTGCCACAATGTTCGGTGGCCACACAAAATCCCCTCGCGCCAAGCATAGATAGAGCCTCTCAAGCCACTTGGCAACTAGCAGGGCCTCACCAGTCACCAAAAACACCAAGCCTAATCGTTTCGCCTTACGGCTTAGCTAGCAAGCCAGTACAAGAACCCTGGGTACAAATAATTGCATCTTTATTGTTATTTAAGTATTTCTCAAAAAGATGGTGAAGAATCACCTCTTCCTAGCACCCCGGCTAGAATTGATACACCTTCAAGCAGAGGAGATGTTGCTAGTCCTGCAGCAATCAGATCCTGGACGATCCCACACATTACCACCGACCTAAGGAGGTGACAAATCCCCTACCCTGCTACAGCAAGGAAAGCAGAGTTATTCAAACTCCTCTATACATCAACGGACAACACGGAGGCAGGGGAAGGCCCAGCTACATCAACTCAGGTGACACCCAGGCTATGCTAGCCTCACTCATAAACTCATGAGCCAAAAAATTTTATGACAGACTGGCAATCTCGAGTTGGTCACCACAGCCCTCCCAAGGCTGGGCCTCACGTTACTGTACAACCAGCACCAACCGAAACTCGGTTACCTGGTACAATCAATTCTTATGACACACAAGATGTTAATCCTGCACGTATGATCCCAGCACATTGGGGAAGCAAGGCATATATATGTATGATGATGTATCTGTGATGGTCAGATTCAGGGATTCCAGGTAAATCGGGAACTGACCATCTCTTGGATGGGTTGGTATTTGGAATATGTAGAGATGTTTATTTGTGCAGGTACCCATACAGAAGGGGTTCTGTCCCAAACAAATGGATGAGCACGCTCAGGCTCCAGGTACCAGCACCTCTGAACTACCAGAGATGATTGATATGAGTAGTTGCATTGCATATAGACTGTTGCATATATGTTCAAATGGTTCAGGGCACATGACAAACCATGTGGCCCAATACAACTTACAAATAACGTACACACCAATGCATTTTCAACACTACTGACTCATCACCCTTCCAGACTTGTAGTAGATTTACTAAAGCTCTGGAGCTTCAAAGGGCTCCCATACAGGTATCAAACACACCTTCAAGGAATATAGCATGCCCTCACTTACAGTCAGCACAACAAAACCATTGGCTGAAAACACACTCATAGCCAAGATTTGCAGAGGGGTCTTCCAATCTCCACCATTTACAGCATGGCACCAAACACACACATTGGTATTGTCACAAGGAATCTTCTCTTAAACAAAGACTAACCATAGACTTATTG